TGCACACACAGACATTAAGGTATTCATGGAGGTCAGAGTACAGTTTTAGGGACTCAGGTCTCTCCTTCCATCATGGGAGTCCTGGAAATCAAACTCGAGTCACCTGGCTTGGTGGCAAGTGCCTTTACCTGCTGAGCCATCTCACCAGTCCATTTCTTTTAAATTTTTTATTGAATTTTTGTGTATTTCATACAGAATATCTTAATCAACTTTGTACCCCCTTCCCCTTTGGCACCCACCCATATCCCCTCACGCACAATGGAATTCATACATTCTGTCATTTATGTTAAGGCCTATCATGTCAAGTTAGTGTCCCCAGATGGCCCTCAGTGCAAGTTCATCCACTGAGGCCTAGTCAGCCTGTCTAGAGTTCAGAGATCAGCTCTTCCTCACCCAACAGTAATCAGCTGCTAATAATTAATTCTTTGTCTAAGATTGGGATCTTCTGTCCATTTCCACAGTTCTGTGCTAGGTTTTGGTCTGCTTGAGTTTGCATGGGTCTTGTGCATGATGGTACCCTTGCTGTAGGTTCATATGAGAAGGGACCCAAGAGCCTGTAGGACTCTATTTCCATATGGTTATGCACCTCTTCCCTGGGTCTTACAGTCTTTCTGCCCCCTCTTCTGCAATGGTCCCTGAGCCCTGGGTGGGTGGATTTTAATATAAGAGCCCTGTCCAAGGACCCACACTCTATAAACTCTTATTTTCTATGTTTTGGTCATTTGTGATCTTTTATGTTCCTGGCCCTCTGTTTCAATGAGCTGCATTGATGAGAACTGAAAGATGCATTAGCGTTCTCCTCATCCCTTGTTCTATGTTCTGTGAGCCTTAGGTGGAGAGGTTGCATCCTAGATGTGCCAATTAGGCTTGGGCGATTTACAGACAATCTCCGTGTATGACCAGTTGTGGAACTGTGTAATAACTTTTGTCTGTTGAAAAAGAAGCTTCTTTGATGGGTAATGACTGGGATACTAATCTGTAAATTTAAGGATCCATATTTTGTACATAGTAAGAAATTACATTTGTCTAGGGATGTGACAGCCTTGGAGTTTTCTCTAAGATCTATGACCTTGTACTGACCAAACTGACCCCATTTTGCATAGAGTAGCCATCTTAGAAGCTTAGCCATACTGTATTTCTAGCTCAAGGATTGTTTTCAGAAACCCTGACCCCTTTCCTCCTGTACCTCCCGGGAGAATGCTGCCATGGTCACTTGTTCTCTAGACATATAGAAAACAAAGTTATTATGATATGACTACCTGCTGATTCTGGCTTCTGTAACTTGCTTGTTTTGCTATTTTAGGGCACCTTGACATGTAGACTGAGATCACCCTCTGCCCTGTTATTCCAGGACCACCTTGTCAACATTCCTTCTTGTGGTTTTTAGCTTTAAAAGTTCCCCTTTCCCTCTCCCTCCCCACTGCAGCACTCTAATCCAATACCATGACTGCAGTCCAAGCTAGCTTGAATAAAATCTTTTATTTCCATCTGAATTGAGTCTGGTGATCTTTCCTCAGTAGTCCCGGGGTCCATAACAACCTATCCAGCTATGTATATTTGGCTAGGTTTACAGTACCACACATGAGTTTCCTCCCATTGAGTGGGCTTTAAGTCCAATTAGGCAGCTGTTGATTACTCCAAATAAAAGTGCCACTACTACTCACCAGTCCATTCTTTTTTTAGAACAAGCTGTGGTTTTTATTACTTAAAAAAGCCTCATGATTATTTCATTTTCTGACTCTGTGCTTATGCCTTCAACACTTTCACAAAGATTTTCTGCTCAGTAAGGAAAACATACTTGATCCTGTCATGAACACATTTAGCACACATAGAACCACCATAGGCCCTGCTGACATGTTTTTTTTGGACAATCTTATGAGGACTTCAGGTCTCACAGCACGAACACCTCAAAGTCTGCCTGGGCACACACCACACACAGATTTTGGTGCTTTCCCAACCTTCTTGTATAAAGGTAAACAATCCTGTTACCAGGAGTTCAGGACAGCCTAGTTTTGTTAGAGGCTGTGTTGTAGAAAAGCCTACGATGGTATGTCAAACGCTGGACCATCCTGAGTGCCTGCAAATACTGACCCCGGAAGAGCTCACCAGTCCATTTTTTAAAAACTTATTTTGGGTGAATTTGGAAGTTTTTTTTCACAAAAAGTTGACTATTTTTTGTTAGATACATAAATTCTGCAGAAACCATTAAAATTGTTAGAATTTCCAGCCGGGGGTAGTAGCTCACGCCTTTATTCCCATCACTGGGGAGGTAGGAGGATCTATATGAGTTCAAGGCCAGCCTGGTCTGCACAGCAAGTTCCAGGCCAGCTGGAGCTACAGAGAATTTCCATGAGATGTGTCCCTCTCCCCATCTTTTTAGACAGGGTTTTGTTATGTAGCCCAGGTTGGCCTGGAACTCCTGCTGGAATTATAAGGATGTGCCAACCACACCAGGCTCTCCTATGAATAATTTTTTTGGTCTTATTGTCATTGGTCTTTTGTTATTGTTGAAGTTGTTTTTATTTTTCCCCATAGGTGACTTTTGGTTTGCTATAGGCATTTATATGCACGTTCCCCTCTGGTCATATCTTCCTCTTAAGTCACTTTTCCTGTGTAGTTTTTTTTTTTTTTTTTTTTTTTTTTTTTTTTTTTTTTTTAAAAAGGGTCTCCCTGTAGCCTCAGCTGTAGCCCCTGCCTGAAACTTGCTATGTAGACCAGACTGGGCTTGAACTCACAGAGATCCATCTGACTCTGCCTCCCAAGTGCTGGGACTAAACGTGTGTACTGCCACACACACCTGGCTTCTATTACCAATTTGATATCACATGAATGACCAGGATATATCACCTCCTCATCTTCTGCTAATGAATCTTCAATAGCAGCAATGGGACCATCATCATCCTAATAATGGCTATCTGTGACTGTCAAAATCTTTTTCTAAATTTTCACTGACAACCATTTGTTTCAAGGATTTCTCAAGGTGGTGTTCATAATCCAACTTTTCAGTGTGGTCAAAAAAAGTCCTCTTGATTAACACGACTTTAATCCCAGTACTCAGGAGGCAGAGGCAAGCAGATCTCTATGAGTTCAAGACAAGTCGGATGTACATAGTGAGTTCTAGGTCAACTGGGGCTACATGATGAGACCATACCTCAAAAAAAACAAACAAGGAAATCCTCTTACAACAGCTTATAGGTTAGAATTTTCCTCCAAGGTAATGGTTTTCTTCCATTTACAGATTGTAAAAAAGGAAACAGGTCCTTTGTCTTTGCTTCTTGCTTATGTGTGATGGTCCAGTGTTTCTTCTTCCCTCTGGTCTTCCCATTGGTCTTAATGTTGTCTTGTAGTTCCTCTTTTTACCTTTTTAACGTTTCTTTTTTCTTTTTTTCTTTTTTTTTTTTTTTTTTTTGTTTGAAGCAGGGTCTCCCTGTAGCCCCAGCTGTCCTGGAACTCACTATGTAGACCAGGCTGGCCTTGAACTCACAGAGATCTGCCTGCCTCTGCTTCCCAAGTGCTGGGACTACAGGCATGTGCCACCATGCCCGGCTCCATTTCTCTTTCTTAAATCTTTCAAAAATAGCCTTTGAAGTCTAAGGTCTTGGTTTTACAGATGAGCCACTTGATGTATTGGTTTGCACACTTGCCGGTGAAACAACAAATTTTGCAATGTCATTCCTTTGCCTTTGTTTTGTTTAGGTGAAGGAACAACATTGTGGTTTTTTGTTTTGTTTTGTTTTTGTCTTATTGAGACAGGGTCTCCCTATGGCCCAGCTGGCCTGGCCTAGAACTCACAGAGATCTGGAGATCTGCCTGCCTCTGCCTCCAGAGTGCTAGGATTAAAGGTGTGTACCACCACACCTGGATACAACATTGTGTTTTAACTTTTTAGATTAAATTAAATTTATATATATTTTTTTTCTTTCTTTCTTTCTTTCTTTCTTTCTTTCTCTTTTTTTTTTTTGAGACAAGGTCTCCCTATAGCCACAGTTGACCTGAAACTCACTATGTAGACGAGGCTGGCCTTGCAGTCATAGAGATCTGCCTGTCTCTGTCTCAAGAGTGCTGGGACTAAAGGCATGTGCCCACGCCTGGCTCAACACAGTGTTTTAAATAAGTTGTTACCAGATGAAGAGTCATCACTTTGGTTTTTAATTTCCCCAGCTCTATCAGATGTCATACCTAAACATACCTAAAAGAATCCATTGTGATTGATCTTGTTCTTTGCTTTATCATTTTCTGACACCAGAGCCACATGCCAGCCCAGCAGACAGACTTGGTCCGCCCTTTTCCACTGCTGGGAAGAAGTGTGTGTGTGTGTGTATGTGTGTGTGTTTGAGACAGGGTCCCATTTTGTAGTCCAGGATGGCCTCAAACTCACTATATGCCCCAGGCTGGACTTGAACTCACAGCAATCCTCCTCAGCTTCCCAAGTGCTGAGAGCAACACCCAGGTATAAACACAAATCCATCACCTTCCCTGCCTCTTCCCTGGGTGTTCTGTTTGTTTTACAGAATGGACAAAAATCCCTCCATCTTCATGGGAAAATCCTTTTCTTTGCATTCTCCATCTCTCAGGTTTAATTTCTCACTGTTCACTCTACCTTGGCAAGATAAACTAGCTTCCCGATTCCATCCATGCTCCCAGGCTCTTCTCCAATCCAGCCTCACATTGGCCATCAATGACTAACCCATACTAACAGGTACATCCCCAGTCTGACTTTACAACTAAAACACAAGCGACCTGCGGGAGCTATAACTGTTCCAGTCCGCATTTCAAGGACCGACCAACTTTGGCTCCAGACTCTGTCCCCCATCCTTTCCAAAGGCGCACGGTGGCTAGCAGTCCAGCAGTGAGCCCCCCCCCCCGCCCCCGCGCCTCCCCAATCTGTTCCAGTAAGGGAGCTCAGCCGGAACCACTTGAGGCCGGACCTCTGAGAGCTGCTACTGCCGGAACAGACTGCGCAGCCCTGGCCGGACACTTTTGGGTGAGACACACAGGAAGTTGGTGGAGGAAGACAAGCCCATGAGTCTAGCTATGGCTTGGAGGATGAGCTTCATTTGCCTCATCAAGGCGAGAGGTAGGGCTCCTGGGCGGAGGCTGATTCCCGCCTGCCACCAGCCTGCGGCCCGGGACTGCTGCTTTTCTTCCGTCCGGTGTGCAGAGCGCCCACGTAGACGCTCAGAGCCGACGGGCGTTTCTGGACCTGGAGCCACGGAAGACTGCTTACTTCCACCGGTATTAATTTCCTGTGGCCCAGATGTCAGAATGCCTTTCCATCGGTGTTACAATATTCGCTGCATGGTGCTTGTTTTGCATGCAAAAAAAAAAAATGCAGTCGGTAGAAATATTGGAAAGTGTACAGAGGAAAATAAACCCCGCCCTACTACTGAGTTAACACATTTTTTTTTTTTTTTTGAGACAAGGTGTTATGTAGCCCAAGCTAGCCTGGAACTCACTATGTAGCTGAGAATGATGTTCAGCTCTCGATCTTCCTGCCTTCCACTTCCCAAGTGCTGGGATTACAAGCGTGGGCTGCCACACACACCTGGCCATTTAAAACATTTAAAAAATAAATTTTATTTAGCCGGGTGTGGTGGCGCATGCCTTTAATCCCAGCACTCGGGAGGCAGAGGCTGGCGGATCTCTCAGTTCAAGGCCACCCTGGTCTACATAGTGAGTTCCAG